TTTTCCCTGTCTTGTTGCTATGAGACGAGGACTTCCCTGAATTCGCCCGTGTGACAGGCATTGTGAAGAGGTAGTGGGCTCTGCCCACAAGTCACAGTGCCATCAAGCGGCCATTCTGGAAAACTGTTAGAGGAAGTCGGTTTGTTTCCAATGTTCTCTAATTACGGCACTCTAAGGTCATCATTTTCACAGATGAATTAGCAGGTTAAATGAACAGTGAAGGCTTATGTATTCCTTTCATACTCTCCTGCACACAGTTCGGATTTTAAAAATCGAATACATCCAGCCTGGCCAACATGGTGAAATCCCGTCTCTACTAAAAATACAAAAAAATTTGCAGGGCGTGGTAGCACGGGGCCTGTTAACCCAGCTACTCAGGAGGCTGAGGCAGGAGAATTGCTTGAACCTGGGAGATGGAGGTTGCAGTGAGCCAAGATGAGTGCAGTGGCAGATCTCAGCTGCAACCTTAGCCTCCTGGGTAGCTGGGATTACAGGCACGCGCACCACACGCGGCTAATCGTAGAGATGAGGGGTCTCATTATGTTGCCCAGGCTGGTCTCAAACTCCTGGGCTCAAGCGATCTGCCTCGCTGGCCTCCCAAAGTGCTGAGGAATAAATAAAACTAATGTATTAAAAAATAAATGAATCCGGCCGGGCATGGTGGCTGACGCCTGTAATCCCAGCACTTTGGGAGGCCAAGGAGTGTGGATCACGAGGTCAGGAATTCGAGACCAGCCTGGCCAATATGGTGAAACCCCGTCTCTATTAAAAATACAAAAATTAGCTGGGCGTGGTGACGCACGCCTGTAGTCCCAGCTGCTTGGGAGGCTGAGGCAGAAGAATTGCCTGAACCCAGGAGGTGGTGGTTGCAGTGAACCAAGATTGCACCACTGCACTCCAGCCTGGGTGACAGAGTGAGACTCCATCTCAAATAATCAATCAATCAATCAATCAATCAATCATGCCACAGCAAGCCAAACGGCAAAATTGAAAGAAAGTTGAACTAGTGGGTAGGAGACTTTGTAGGTTAGCCCTAACTTCACCTCTCTTGGTCTCAATTTCCGCTTCTAACTAATGAAGGACTTGGGTTAGGTCTCCCAACGTCCCTTCTGCTCTAAAAGTGTCTAATCCCTTGCTTCTTTTACATATGGTTTTTAGAGGAGCACAACCTGGAAGCGGATCCTGATCAGGTCTTCCCAGCTGAGCTTGGTTATGTGGCTTCAAAGCGAGCTTGTGCAAATGGCAGCAAGGACGGAAGGGCAGAAGAGGGTCTGTGCCCACGGGGAGAGGTGAAATTGCCGGCAGTCTCTGGCAAACGACTCCACTCCCCACACGCTTGGTGGAGATGGGCCTCCACCGAGGATAAAATTGTCATTTCTGAGGGAGAAGTCTGGCCCAGGGTATCAGCTCCGGGCATGGGGGCTAATCCTGTGAAGAAAGGCTCACAGGCAAGTGCATCTGGGCAGGATGTGCTTATTGACTCAGCAGTAGGCTGGACGTTAATGTATTCAATGAAGATGAGAAGAAAGAGAGAATTCACATTCCACTCTAAGGATGCATCCCTGTCCCTTCCCTCCCCACCCACAGTTTATGAGACCCTGGAGCCAGGTAGGAGAACTGCCTCTACTCTGAAGCCTGCTTCCCACTGTTGCCTTGCATGGACTCCTGTTTGGAGGCCACATGAATCTGGGTCTGTGGTGCACCTCATTGTCTCCCTGTGGCTTAATTCTAGTTCTTGTGGAGTAAATGTGAGGTGTAGTGAAGGCTGTTCTTGTGTTGCGGGACTTACGCAAATTTTTATCAGTCTGTGCATTATGTGAAGCCTCCTCCAAATTCAGGATCAAGAGAGACACCAGGAATGCTGAGTATTAAGCTAAACAAAAATACGGTGAATTACCAACACCCTGAGAGACCATAGCTGAATTAATACAGGTCATGCGACTTTGGGGCTCTCTTGAATGTGACTTAATACTCTTAATTTGTCATTATTTGGGGGATTAAAAAATACCTTCTGGCCGGGACGGTGGCTCATGCTTGTAATCCCAGCACTTTGGGATGCTGAGGCGGGTGAAACACTTGAGGCCAGGAGTTTGAGACCAGCCTGGCCAACATGGGAAAACGCTATATCTACTAAAAATACAAAAATTAGCCGGGTGTGGTAGCTGTAGTCCCAGCTGCTTGGGAGGCTGAGGCACGAGAATCGCTTGAACCTGGGAGACAGAGGTTGCAGTGAGCTGAGATTGTGCCACTGCACCCCAGCCTGGGTAATGGAACGAGACTCTGTTTTAAATAGAAAAAAAAAAAAACTCTTTACAAAAGAGCTTGTATGACATTGTCTCACTGAACATCCATCTACTGTAGTAAACTCCCAGAACATTAGACACAATAGAGCTTAGAAATCACCTAGTGTCATTCTTTTCCATTTAAACTGAGACCTACAAATACATAAAAATAAAATGGAAACAAATTAAACTTTTCACACTGTAACTCTAAAACATAATATTTCACGTAAAAAGACAAACAGCACAACTACGGCAGGGGTCTCCTATATTTTAACAAGTCTGAACCATGAAATTCAAGGGCTAAGTGAGGTAAATATCTGGCACATTTTGTTGGTTTAGAGCCATTTGATGATGGGATAAGAATGTGAGGAGGAGGGGAAAAGGGAGAAAGAAAAATATGATATATTATTTCTTTTCTTTTTTTTTTTTTTTGAGACGGAGTCTTGCTCTGTCGCCCAGGCTGGAGTGCAGTGGCTGGATCTCAGCTCACTGCAAGCTCCGCCTCCCAGGTTCACGCCATTCTCCTGCCTCAGCCTCCCCAAGTAGCTGGGACTACAGGCGTCCGCCACCTCGCCCAGCTAGTTTTTTGTACTTTTTAGTAGAGACGGGGTTTCACCGGGTTAGCCAGGACGGTCTCGATCTCCTGACCTCGTGATCCACCCGCCTCAGCCTCCCAAAGTGCTGGGATTACAGGCTTGAGCCACCGCGCCCGGCCATGATATATTATTTCTATCTTTGGAATTTGTGATTGAACAAAGCCTCTCAACTTAAAAACATCAGCTCTGTAAATGTTTTGTAGATTAAATATTTTGTTATTCTTTGTCCCAAACATCAAAACGTAATCTTGTCTCATTCCCTTGTGTCCGGGAGGTAGGAAGGTACAGGTTTCCCTCCTTATCGCAAACATTCCGCAGCACAAGTCCAAGAACCTATCTACAGCCAAGGAACCGGCTCATTACATTTCAACTAGACCCTTTTTAAGAATCACCAATGAATCTTAAATTCAGCTGATTTTTTAAAATTGTAGATAAAAAAGAGGCCAGGCGCGGTGGCTCAGGCCTGCAATCCCAGCACTTTGGGAAGCCGAGGCAGGCAGATCTCCTAAGGTCAGGAGTTTGAGACCAGCCTGGCCAACATGGTGAAACCCCGTCTCTATTAAAAATACAAAAATTAGCTGGGTGTGGTGGCAGGTGCCTGTAATCCCAGCTACTTGGGAGGCTGAGGCGGGAGAATCACTTGAACTTGGGAGACAGAGGTTGCAGTGAGCCAAGATCACGCCATTGCACTCCAGCCTGGACAACAGAGTGAGACTCCGTCTCAAAAAATAAAAAATAAAAATAAAAAGAACAGCCAAATTCTCTTAGACCTTTGACTTCTACCAAGGCAGTGGTCAGGAAGCCCTTCAAGGCCTGGATGGGTTTGGCCCCTCGTGTTCTCTAGGGAGACATCCGAAATGTCAAGGAAAGAGCGACAGACAGACATGCGGTTAGAGGCCTGAGTTTGAATACCAGCTCTGTCACATTCCAACTTGGGCAGGTCACATAACTTTTGAGTTCCAGTTTGCTCATCTATAAAAGGGATGATAATAAATATATCACAGAATTGTTGAGAGGATAAAGGAGATAATGCATGTAAAATTGCTGAACAACTGGAGTTATTATTTGCAGCTCTTGTTAACTAGGGCGTGAAAATGCATACTAGTCTTGTCTCTAAACCCTTTATTGTTTAAATAAAAACATTTTTTAAATGTGCTGGCTGGTCCTCGATTTGAAATAATGGAGATCTGGGAACCAGAGGAAACACATTCCCTAGTTATCACAGGCAAAGAAGAGTTTGAGTTTGGCCAGGGTATGGTGCTGTGCCCTGGAGAGAGATGAGGGAGACCAGGCTCTGGCTAGAGAAATGGCCTCAAGTTTCTAGGAGAATGAGGAAGGCAGTCCTTGCCCTTGCTGTCCTGGTGTATAGGGGTAGGGCTGGGCAGCTGAAAGTCTCGGCCTGAATTGCAGAGCCTGTACAGAGAAATGCCATCTGTCATGTCTGTCTTTGGCATTTTTTAGATATGCTAGCAACAGCACCTGCGCATTTACTTGTATATAACTCAAAAATGGGAGGTAAATGTCCTAGACACAGCCTAGATGGGGCACAGATGTCAGGAAAACATTGCATTGACTTTGCATTTTTCAAGGCTTCATCAGCTGCTTAGAAGGATAAAAACAAGAGAAAGAGCAAGAGAAATTAGGCAACTCTATGCTTTTCCCCCCTAAGAATCTTGATTAAAATCCAACCACAGAAGACTTCCCAGCAAGTTCCAATATATGACGTGCTTTCCATAGCAGATCTGGCTAGTGGTTACTTGCAGGAAGGTAACGTGACAACCTATACACTATTAACTCATCATAAATGTTGCCTAGTGAAAGAAATATAAATCTCTGAGATAGGTGACATGAGGATTTCATTTGGAACTGAAGCCCATAGTTATAAAACTTCAGTAAGGAGGAGAAAAACAAAACAAAATAAAACGAGATTGAATCATTAATCAAAGACTGTGTGTATGGCTTAGGTTTATGTTTTTGAACCAACAGTAAATAAGTGTTAAGAAAGCATTTCTTTTTTATGCATGTAACTAATATATTAATAGTAAAAGGACCGTTGGCTGTAGCTCAAAGTGAATGCTTTCCCTAAAACATAAAAAGCAAGTAAAATAAAACCCACAAAAACTACAATAAACAAATGAACGCATTTTACAAAATAAAACATTTCCCTTGGAAAGTTGAGGGAAAACAAATATGTAAATAGCTTCTGTTTTTATAATTAAAGCTTTTTAATCTCTGGTGCATAACAATTGAAAGAATGAGAAATTAAACAAAAGTATTTGGTGGATTTGAGTTAATGGGCCAAGCAAGCTTTTTTTCCTTGGCTTCTCTGTCAAATGAGTCATAGATTGAGTCTTTGGTAATAGTTTTGGCCATGGAAGGGATTTCTGAAATGCCAACATAGTTTTTTTTGGCCATCCTTGAACTCGTTGTGATAGTATAGGCATTGCTTCGGTAACATTTCATAGAGGACATGCAAAAAGTCTCTTTCATCCCTCTCCGAAAATTGGCATTATAAATTGAATACAGAGTAGGTTTAGAGGCTGAAGAACTAAAGGATATCCATGTGATAGCTGTGAAAACAAGGGAACTTTTCTTATAGTCTTGTTCATGTGGGTGCCATAGCTGAGCTACATGAAAAGGCAGCCAGGAGAGCAAAAACAACAGATTTAAAATGAGGAACATCTTGATGGTTTTCACTTTTGTCCGAGGGACAATGTTCATTGTCCTCCTCACTGTTCGGCCATCTGTGCCTATTCTCCAAATATATTTTATGACCTTTTGGTAAAATAAAATTATGAGGGCAGATGGAATCACAAAGCCCACCAAGAAGTGGATGACAGTATAGGCAGTGCCTTCCCAAGAGGAAGGGAGGAAATAGTTACAATGACTGTCCCAGTTGGAGCCATAGAAAAAGAGCACAGGGGTCACAAAGGCTGCATCAAAGATCCACGATGCTGCGATCATTTTCTTGGCTTTTTCTCTGGACACCTTGAAGCTCAGAGGATAGACGATGGTGTAGAACCGGTCTATGCAGATGGAGAGGAGAACATAGATCTGGACACCTGGAGTGAGATACTGAAAATATCGCACAACCTTGCACATTGCACTACCAAGTGTCCACCTTCCAGTGGTGAACTGGAGCAGGACGAAAGGCGTGCTGGCAACGCTAATGAGAAGGTCAGCACATGCCATGGAGACCACAAAGTAGTTGGTGGTAGACTGAGTCCTCCTACTCCTGTGGATGACCAAACAAACCAGGGAATTGCCGAAGATAGAAAACAACCACAGAGTCCCAAAGAAGATGCTGGCTGTGGCCACTTCCCCGGGGTTCAGTCCATAGTGCAGATGTGTTTGGTTGCTCATCCAGCTGTGCTCCTCACCTAATTCCATCAGGTACTGGCTTGGCAGCGGTGTGGCTGCTGCAGTGCAGCTGCGGTTTTGGAGTGGTACCAGAAGTGTAGGAATAATCAACTGTGGCTTGCTGTTATCCATTCTGTGAGCAAAAACCATATTCACTTTTTTCCTCTTAATTCTGGATGGGGAAAAGAAGAATGAGGCCTCCTGTTAAAAAGGTGTCATACAGGTTGGTTATGATTATGAAGGCGAATGATCTTATTTGACATTTAGATTGGTTGTCATTTGTCTATGAGTAGGACTTGTGCATTGGCAGGAAAACATAACTACTATCCAGAAAAAGCCTGGCCCCCATTTTGTTTTCATTTTAGGAGCTGTTTCAGCAGATCCCAGCTCAGGCTCTCTCTGGCCTCACCTTCTCTTGAGCCTTAGTCATAATACCAAGCCCCACTCCTACACATATCCTTTTCCCTGTACTCATCAGAGATCACAGAGGATTAGGGAATCTCAAATCTGGCTCATACTAAGGGTGTTACCACCAACTGAAGATCTGCTGGCATTCTGCGCAAGTATGTGAGAAGTTCCTAATTGTCATGAGGTTGCAAGAGAGGAAAGTTTGGACAGATGAAAACACACAGATTTTGACTATGGAAGTAGCTAACAGCAGTCTGTGAATAGAGACTGGCTAGCTACTGGGAAGGGTGCTGTCCTTACTTAGTGTAGATTTTCCATCATAGAAGGATCATGGTAACACATGGAGCAATCAACACTGCTACATGAGCCAGAAATAGCTCCTAATTTAATGACATGTGAAAATAGGCTGCTTTTTCTAGAAGACACAGTTCATGCACTAATAGCTTGCCACCTACGAGTGACATATATTTTGATGCTATTCTGTTGTTGTTGTTTCACAAAATATTGACTGAAGAACATACAAGATGTCCTCTAAGAAATGGAACCAGGTTACAGGAGACCTTGTGGCAGTCAGGTGATTAAAAACAACAACAACAAAAAATGTAACTGTTAGCTAAGCATAGTGGCGAACACCTATAGTCCCAGCTACTCAGAAGGCTGAGGCAGGAGGATCACTTGGGCCCAGAAGTTTGAATCCAGCCTGGGCAACATAGCAAGACCCTATCTCAAAAAAAAAAAGTAACTTAAAATTACTAAGCACTTTTTAAAAGCTTACAAAGCTTATAGTTCTTAGATATAAAAGAATATTTTAAAGTTTAGCCTTTATTTTATACTTTTTGTATTATTCAGTGAGAAAAAAAGTCACACTTTTTAAACAGGCAAAAAAGATTAACTAGTTGTGGGCCATTCAATTAAAACTGAAGTGATTTTGCTCACAGATTTTAAAGGTTCAATTTGGTCTGAATCCAGGAAACGAAAAAAGAAACAGTAGCAATGTAATCCATAATAACCATAACAATTATGGTGATTAACATAAGAGATAAGGATAAACATTAATATTTTCAAGAATGTGTCCACTAAAAGTAAAAGCCCATGTGGGGTTACAGCCACCATTTTGCTGAGATTCCATCTGGCCTGTGGCACAGGGGATGTGGCTCCAGCAACAGGCTTTTCTAGTGGTCACTAGTTTCTTTCTTGGTGGGCTCCTGTGTCTGCACCTCACAAAGAAACATTTCTCAAGTGACAGCCAGGATTAAATAATAGTTCATAATGAAACGACGATTCTTAATGACTAATTTTTTCTTTTTTTTTTCTTTTTTTTTTTTTGAGACAGAGTCTCACTCTGTCCCCTGGGCTGGTGTGCAGTGGCATGATCTCTGCTCAATGCAACCTCCACCTCCCAGGTTCGAGAGATTCTTGTGTCTCAGCCTCTCAAGTAGTTGGGACTACAGGTGTGCGCCACCATGCCTGGCTAATTTTTGTATTTTTAGTAGAGACCAGGTTTCCCCATGTTGGCCAGGCTGGTCTTGAACTTCTGACTTCAAGTGATTCACCCGCCTCGGCCTCCCAAAGTGCTGGGATTACTGGTGTAGCAACTGCACCCGGCCCTTGTTTTTTCTTTTTCTTTTTTTTTTTTTTTTTGAGGCGGAGTCTCGCTCTGTCGCCCAGGCTGGAGTGCAGTGGCGCCATCTCGGCTCACTGCAAGCTCCGCCTCCCGGGTTCCCGCCATTCTCCTGCCTCAGCCTCCCGAGTAGCTGGGACTACAGGCGCCGCCACCACGCCCGGCTAATTTTTTGTATTTTTAGTAGAGACGGGGTTTCACCGGGTTAGCCAGGATGGTCTCGATCTCCTGACCTCGTGATCCGCCCGTCTTGGCCTCCCAAAGTGCTGGGATTACAGGCTTGAGCCACTGCGGTTGTACTAATTTGTGATAGAGAAAGAAGTGTTACTACATATCATCTTCACCAAAAAGCCACATTCAATACAAGTCTGGTGCTCCAGGCAATATACTCAATGCTGTTCTGTTATCTTTAGGCTTTTTTGTCCATGAGGCAACCTTACTTAAGCAAGCTTAAGTAAGATAATTAAAATTAAAAAAAAATTTTTTAAATGTGTTTTTGCCACACAGAAAGCCAAAATAATTAAACATTCTGATCACTAAAAGATCTTTAAGAATGCTGGGAAAATGATAGCCAATGGTAAGAACAGCAACCATACTTTCCACATAAGAAATCAAGGCCAGGTGTGGTGGCTCTCGCCTGTAATCCCAGCACTTTGGGAGGCTGAGGTGGGCGGATCACAAGGTCAGAAGATCGAGACCAACCTGGCTAACACGTGAAACCCCATCTCTACTAAAAATACAAAAAATTAGCCAGGCGTGGTGGCAGGCGCCTATAGTCCCAGCTACTCAGGAGGCTGAGGCAGGAGAATCGCTTGAACCCAGGAGATGGAGGTTGCAGTGAGCCAGGATCGCGCCATTGTACTCCAGGCTGGGCAATGGGGTGAGAGGCCATCTCCAAAAAAAAAAAAAAAAAAAAAAAAAATCAGGACATAAGATCTAAAATTAGCATTGTCCTAGAAAATCTGGACTGCATGACCCTTATATATATAAGATTGTAATCATCTTTTCGCCTTCATATGTGTAAAACCTATGAAACTTAAAAAAAAAAAATCTTTTAAGATTTAAAGTTTAAAAATAAACTAAAACAGACAAACAATTTCCCCAGACAGAACACTGTTCTAACTTTTCTGGGATGCCTGTGGCCTGAATAAAACAGGAGTCCACAGGCACTTTTCCTTAATGCTCACACTTGAAAACCTGTGACCTTCCTTCTGTTTCTTTCTTCCTCTAACAACAAAACTCTGTAAATGAAACTCAAGCTCACCGCTTTAACTAAAGCCTGGGGGCGGGAGGCCCATCCATCATTTGCTGCAGCTGCTTTACACCCATGAGTATGTCTGCCCATTTCCCCAGCCCGACCACTGGGAAGCAGAGGATCTCGATGCTCAGAAACAGGACGAGGGAGCCCGAGGAGTTTCTGAGTCTAGGTTTCCTCTGCTGGTGGCATGAGTTCTCACTGCACCTAAAATTGCTGCCGTTCTGAATATTCATTCAACAAACCGAGAAACTGGGCTAGGTATAAAGAAAAGATACGTAGGGCCCATAAAACAAGCAGTGTGCCAAATTATAACTCAATTTGATAATAATTATAATTAACTACTAAGAACAGAACTATGTACAAGGAGCTAAGTAAGATAAAAACAGGGATGCCTGGGTAAGGGGAAGAAGAGGAAAGGCTTCACAGAAGAGGTGAAGTTTGAGCTGGGAGCTTAGAGGATGAATAGGACTTCTTCAGGAAGACAAGTGAATAAAACATTCCAGGGGAGAGAGAGAGCATGTGGATTTCATTTTGGGGTCATTCTTCTGGGTTGATCTTTTTTGGAGCCCTTTTCCCCTCAGAAACATAGTTTCCTTCAGACCATGCCTCTCAGAGTACATAGTTTCTACATGCCCTACAATCAAACTGACCTAAATTTTTCCTCTGGTTACAATGAGAGGTTATATTTTCTGCATTCATGGGCAGAAATGCGGTCAGACAGTGGGTAAGAACATTAGCATATCCAGAATGGTTGTGGTACCCTTGTTCATACAGCATCTTGTTAGTCCTTTACTGCAGCATTTTCCGTTTGTTTTGCTCTAACTTAGCCATACAGTACTTTGGAGTCTCCCAGGGAGCTTTAAAACATATTGATGCCTGGGTCCCAGCTTGAGGGATTTTAATTTAATTGCTCTGGAGTACAGCCTGTGTGTTGGATGTTTCAAAGTTCCCCAGGTGATCCTGATGTGTAGCCAAGATTAAGAATATCTGCTTTAGAAATACCTCGATGTTTCTGTCTTCTCCAATAAACTATGGACTCCAGTAGGGAGATGGGGATGCTATTCTTTTTCTCCGTGCTCTACAGCTTCCGCTGAAGTTCTTTACATTAATAATTGCTTATTAGATGTTTACTAAATTGGATCTGTAAGGACAGAGAGCTGAAATAAATGACTCTTACTCTATGTGCCTCTGCTAGGAGAATTAAATGCAGATAGAAAATCATTATATATTGTCAGGGAGCTGAAACAGTGGGGACCATGGTGATAGCGGAAAACATGACTCCTGATAAAAGCAGGGCAGGTGAAACTGAAGCTACCAGGTCAACTGCTATATGAAACAGATATCTCATCTCAGGGAAAGCGAAGGCAATTTAGGTGTCCTCAGACAGGTTCTTGCGCTTTCCTCCCAGAAAAAAGGTCTGCCATATTATAACTAAATTCTAGGGTCTCAAAGTAAAGTTTCAAAAAGGCCTCCCCTGCTCCATTAATTTGGATAAAAATATATCTTCAAGGGGGTCTTTCTGAAATATAAGATCTGGTTAATTAGTAATTCTCTTCAGAGCTATCCATGTGAAGTAATTTTAGGACAAGAAAGCCGCCTTCACCTCTTTCCTGTTCAACCTATCCCTTCCCAGCCGGGTCTGAGACTACCATTTGGCATACTCCCTTGGCTGAGGTACTGAAGGCCCTTATTTATCTCTATCTGTATATGATCTAAAAGAGGAATCATTCATTTATCCTATTATCTACTTCTCATCCACGCAGGCTTCAAGATTAATACACGAGTGGGGAAAAAGGTAGATGGGTTGTCATAGTACAGAACTGGGGGCCAGGCATGGTGGCTCACACCTGTAACCCGGGTGGCCGAGGCAGGCGGATCACCTGAGGTCAGGAGTTCAAGACCAGCTTGGCCAAC